AAGGGGCTGTTTCGGGAGGAGACTTCCCACCACACAGCTAGGAGCTGTGCTGGGAGCTGCTCCCCGGCACCAGGAAGCACGAGGAAGCACAAGGAAGCACAAGGAAGCTCCCTGGTGCAGGTGGGGATGAGGGGCTGTGGGATAAAGCGCTGCCTCCCACCCCAGCAAACCCCCACCCACTGCTCCCTCCCCACTTCCCGGTGCCTACCTTTGCCCCGGGAGCTGTACAGGGAGTTTTCCTCCATGGAGAACTCTCCATCAGTGCCCAGTGAGCTTTGAGGGCCGTCCCTGCCCGCTGCCTGCTCCTCCCTGCTCCTCTGCCCGGGAGAGAGTGGCTGGTGAGTGAGGGTAGAGCGTGGCTTGGACACCCACCCCGGGGGATCCCGGTTATCCTACCAGGAACGCCAGCTCGCACAGCCTCTGGATCCCACATCACACCAACACCCAAACTGACCCCCATCCCAGGGGATCCCGGTTATCCTACCAGGAACGCCAGCTTGCACAGCCTCTGGATCCCACATCACACCAACACCCACACTGACCCCCATCCCGGGGGATCCCGGTTATCCTACCAGGAACGCCAGCTCGCACAGCCTCTGGATCCCCTGTCACACCAACACCCACACTGACTCCCACCCTGGGGGATCCCGGTTATCCTACCAGGAACGCCAGCTCGCACAGCCTCTGGATCCCCCGTCACACCAACCCCCCCATGGGCCCCCCCATCCCGGGGGATCCCGGTTATCCTACCGGGAACGCCAGCTCGCACAGCCTCTGGATCCCCTGTCACACCAACACCCACACTCACTCCCACCCCGGGGGATCCCGGTTATCCTACCGGGAACGCCAGCTCGCACAGCCTCTGGATCCCACATCACACCAACACCCAAACTGACCCCCATCCCGGGGGATCCCGGTTATCCTACCGGGAACGCCAGCTCGCACAGCCTCTGGATCCAGTCGGCCGCCTCGGCGCCGTCGGCAGCCAGGAGGAAGCGCCTGTCCGTGGTCTCCAGCAGGAAGGGGACGGTGTCCTTGGGACAGGTGGCATCGCCCCCCGCCTCGGCCACGTGCACGCAGTCGCTCAGCCGGACCAGCCTCTTGCTCCCCTCGCCTTTCCGGGCCTTCTCCCCCGGCCCTGAGCCCTCCAGCAGCTCCAGGCGGGCCGTGGAGCAGGAGCTCTCCCGGTACAAGACTCCCCAGAACTTCTTCCACTTCTGCCACGGGGAGAATCTACTTCAGAGATGTACCCTCGTGACTTACACCCAAATGTCATAAGGACCAGCCCCAACATTCCTAAATAAGAGGCACGTCTGGGTCACAGCTCAGCTGACCTCTGGTTAGTCGTAAAGAGTTCTTTTGAAATATTTTCAGTCCTAAGAGCCAGAATCTGAAAGAGCCACTGCGTCTTGCAGAGGTGGGTTTGCTCGCCCTCCCGGGAGTTTTTATTCCCTCAGGATCGCAGGGGAAGCCCTCCGGGGTCTGGGCGGGGTTTTTGCACCTCGCCCGGGACTGACCAGAGGTCAACTGGGGTTTAAATATCCCTGGATAAACATCCCTGAGGCACAGCAAGGCTTTTCCAGCTGGGAAAGGCACTGGCAGCATCCCATCCTCACCCAGCATCCAGATCCAGCCCTGCAGCACCCAAAAGCCCTGCCCACGCCACCCCCCTGCTGCTGAAGGGCTTCCAGCTCCTCGTTCCCTCCATTTTCCTTGGAAACACCAGCTTTTAAACGGTTCCCAGCTCGCCCCCCACGGAGCAGCAATTCGGGGCTCACAGGGGATGGGATGGGAGGCCCCAGTGCCAGAGGGGAAGTGGGGACAGAGGAAGTCCTGCACCCAAAGCAGCACATCCTCCACGGCAGCTCCTGCTCCGGGGCCTGCTGGGCCCCCAGGATCCGACAAAACACAGCTCCCTTTCCCTGGGATGGGATGTTGGGATCCACGCTGGGGTGGCCTCTGCCCTGCTCCCCACCCTCCAGCACTGCAGGCACCGTGTGCTCCTGCCTTGCCCCAGGGAGGGGATGCCCTGCCCACCCTGCCTGCCCCCTGCCCGCCTTCCCTGCCCTTCCCATGGCATTTGGATTCCCTTTGGAGGGTGTCCACAGGGAATGAGACCAGGGAACAGAGCTGGAGTTGCCCATGAGCTCCTTCCCCTTTGGGAGTTGTTGCCAAACCCTGAGTTTATCAGGCACGGAAGCAGAGAGGCTTTGGGGGTTGCATCAGTCACCCAATGTGAGTCTGGGGGTCACACCCGTCACCCCCTGGCTTTGGGGTCACATCAGCCACCCTGTGTGGGTCTGGGGGTCACATCAGCTGCCCTGTGTAGGTCTGGGGGTCACATCCATCACCCAATGTGAGTCTGGGGGTCACACCGATCACCCAAACACAGGTTTGGGGGTCACATCTGTCACCCAACACGAGACTCGGGGTCTAATCCATCACCTAATGTGGGTCTGGGGGTCACATCCATCACCCCCTGGCTTTGGGGGTCACATCAGTCACCCTGTGCGGGTCTGGGGGCCACACCCATCACCCAACACAGGTTTGGGGTCACATCCCTCACCCCCCAGCTCTGGGGGTCACATCCCTCACCCCAGCTCACCCCAGCCACCCCCTGGCCCTACAAAGTGTCCCCGGCACCTTCCGTCCCCCCGCCTGTCCCCACGGGGAGCTCACGGATGGCCGAGGAGCCAAGGGCTGGGAGCACCCAAATCCCTTTGGATTCCACCCCGTATCCCACCCCTCCGAGCCTCCCCGTGCCCCCCACGCCCCCTCACCTTGCCGAAGGTCTGCTGGAGCTGGAGGTAGATCCCCCCCTGCTTCACCACCGCCTCCTCCATCCTCCCACCTCCGGCATCCTCCGGCGTGTCCCGCCGTGTCCTGCCGTGTCCCACCGTGTCCCTCAGTGTCCCACAGCTCCGGGGGGTCCCGTCCAGGCCGTGTGTCCCCCCCTCCCCTCTCTCTGTGGTGTGGGGGCCGGGCGGGCTCAGCACGTGACGTGTGGTTTGGGTTCTGCCGCTTCCTCCGCTCGCGACGGTTTCCTGCGGCCCCGAGAGCCCCACGAGGGACTGGGGGGACAGGGAGGGGGGACAGGGAGGGGGAGGGACAGGGATTGGGGACAGGGATGGGAACAGGGATGGGGGACAGGGATGGGGACAGGGATGGGGGACAGGGATGGGGCAGGGATGGGGGACAGGGATGAGGGACAGGGTTGGGGACAGGGATGAGGGACAGGGTTGGGGACAGGGTTGGGGACAGGGATGGGGGACAGGGTTGGGGACAGGGATGAACAGGGATGGGGACAGGGATGGGGACAGGGATGGGGGACAGGGATGGGGGACAGGGATGGGGACAGGGATGGGGGACAGGGATGGAGGACAGGGATGGGGACAGGGATGAGGGACAGGGTTGGGGACAGGGTTGGGGACAGGGTTGGGGACAGGGATGGGGGACACATGGACAGGGCACAGCTGGACACACCCGTGTCCCACGCCCTGGCACCGGTGCAGGACACTGGGAATTCCCACCATGGCCCTCCCTCGGTTTTCCCGCCTGGAAAAGGGTCCAGAGGGTGTCCCAGGGGTGTCCCAGTGGTCCCAGTGCCCTGCACCCAGTTCCTCCCACCAGTGGCCTCCAGTTAGCCCAGCCTGGCACCAGTGTCCCAAGTTACTCCAGCGCCTGCACACCAGTGCTCCCAGTTAACCCAGCCAGGGACAAGTGCCCAGTGGGTAGAGATGGGGGGCAGGGACAGAGCTGGGGTAACTGGGAGCACTGGTGTGTTGGGTACTGGGAGCACTGGGAGCACTGGTGTGCTGGGTACTGGGAGCACTGGTGCAGGGGCTGCTGGGGCACAAGGTTTGTCCCTGGGCTGGGGTAATTGGGAGGCTACTGGTGCAAGGCACTGGTGCAGGGACGTGGTAGCACTGGTGTCACTGGTTGCTCTGGTGTCACTGCTCTCACTGCTCTCACTGGTGTCCCTGGTCATCCCAGTGTCCCTGGTGTCTCTGCTGTCCCTGGTCACACTGGTGTTCCTGGTCTCACTGGTCACACTGATGGTACTGGTCTCACTGGTGGCACTGGTGTTCCTGATCTCACTGGTGTCCCTGGTCACACTGGTGTCACTGGTGTCATTGGTGTCATTGGTTTCTCTGCTGTCACTGGTGTCACTGGTGTCACTGATGTCCTCATTGGTGTCACTGGTGCCACTTATGTCACTGGTGTCCCTGCTGTGACTGGTTTCTCTGATGTCATTGGTGTCCCTGGTGTCACTGGTCTCACTGCTGTCACCGGTGCCCCTGGTCACACTGGTGTCACTGCTGTCACTGATGGCACTGGTCTCACTGCTGTCCCTGGTCACACTGGTGTCACTGGTGTTACTGGTCTCATTGGTGTCTCTGCTGTCACTGGTCTCACTGGTGTCACCGGTGCCTCCCTGCTGTCGCTGGTGCCGCTGGTGCCACTGGTCACACTGGTGTCCCCAGGTGTCCCCGCCGTCCCCGCGGGTGCGCGGCCCCTTTAACCCCCGTGTCAACAAACCCCCCCTTCGCTCCGCCTCCCTCCGCCAGCGTCGTGACGTCACGCGCAGCCTCCGCGGCGTTGGGTGGGCGTGGCCTGCCCAAATACGGGGGGGGGGGCACGTCCAAAATACGGCGCGCGCAGGCTCGGAGGGAGGGGCGTGGCTTTACCTGGGGAGGCGCGGCTTGAGCGGCGCGCGGGGAGGGGGGCGTGGTATGTCCGTTCGGGGGGGGGGCGTGACCCGCTCTTCCGGGGGGGCGCGGTCTGCCGCTTGGGGGGCGTGGCCTGTCCCTTTGGGGGAACACTATAAGTGCATCGGGGGCGTGACCTGCCCTCGGAGGGCGTGGCCTACCCCTCGGAGGGGGCGTCGCCTTGTCCGCGGAGGGGCTCGGCCCGCCCCCTCGGTGGGCGTGCCCCCGCGGCGGTGGGCGTGGCCGCGCGTGCCCGTGCCCCGCGCGGCGCATGCGCGGTGCGCGCGGCGGCGCGGGGCGGACGCGGCGGGTCCGGGCCCGGCGCAGCGGGGGCGGAGGCGCGAGCGGAGCATGAATGGGGCAAGATGGCGGATCATGTGCAGGTGAGGGCGGCGGGGGGGCACCGGGGGGGATCCCCGCGTCGCGCACACACACGCGCGCACATACACGCACAGAGGGGATCTGCCCGCCGCGCACCGCCTGCTTCTCCCCCCCCCTCCACCGCCCCGCGCGGCCCAGCCCAGCCCCGGCACGGCCAGGCCCGGCAGGCCCCGCGCGCGGCCCAGGCGGCGGCGGCGGCGGCGGCACAACAGGCCCCGCGGCCGAGGCGTCCCTCCGTGTGTGCCCCCGACCCTCCGTGCGGCCCAGCGTGTGCCCCCCAGCCCCGCCGTGTCCCCGCCTTGTTTACCCCCGGCTCGCCCCGCCGTGTGTCCCACCCGTCCATCCTTGTGTCCCCGCGACCCTCTGTGTGTCCCCCCGGCCCTCCATGTGCCCCCGGCGCCCTCCGTGTGGCCTACTGTGTCGCCGCCATCCCCGCCGTGTCCCCACCGTGTGTCCCCCCCGGCTCACCCCTCCGTGTGTCCCCCCGATCCTCCGTGTGTCCCCACGTCCATCCGTGTGTCCCTCCGTGTCCCACCCCGATCCTCCGTGTGTCCCACCCTGTGTACCCCCAGTTCCCTCCCCCGTGTGTCCCCGCCGTCCCCCCATCCATCCGTGTGTCCCCCTGACTCTTTATGTGTCCCCCCGGCCCTCCGTGTGTCCCTCCCATCCATCCGTTTGTCCCCCCGGCCCTCCGTGTGTCCCCTCTGTTCCCACCGTGTCTGCACCCCCATCCCCGCCTTGTGTCCCCCCCGTGTCCCCCCATCCTCTCCAGAATGTCCCCATGTCCCCACCGTGTCTCCCTCCCATCTCCCTGTCCCCTCTCTGGGTCTCCCCCATCCCTGCCGTGTCCCCCCCAGATCCCTTTGCCCCCTCTCCCAGCTGGCACTGTGAGGCTTTACAGCATTCCTGGTCGGGAAATATTTGGGAAAAGGACAACTCAGACCCCGCTTTTCCCCTTGGAAACCCAACACCCCAACCCTGTCCCCGCTCCCCTCTCCTGGGGTTTTAGAGTTGGTCCCAGCGTTGGGATTCCCATCCTTGCGGGGATCCTTGGGATCCCTGGCTGTGTTTGGTTTGTTTTCCAGCTGTGTGGAAGACTTTGGAGTGCAGGTAAAGGGTTTGTAAAGGGCGTTGGAAGTGAAACCCGGCGTGGAGAAGTTCGTGGTGCTGGAGCCAGGAGGGAAATCAGGGGTGGCAGTGGCTCCCAGGGTGGTGTGGAGGGACCAAAACCCCCTGTGGAGGGACCAAAACCCCCTGAAAGAACCCAAACCCTTGTGAGCAGACCAAAGAGCCTCAGAAAGGGACTCAAAAACCATTTGAAGGGGACCCAAACCCCTTTGAAGGGGACCCAAACCTTCTGAAGGGGACCCAAACCCCTCTCAAGGGGACCCAAACCCCTCTGAAGGGACCCAAAAACCCTCTGAGGGGGCCAAACCCCGTTGTGAAGGACCCAAAACCCTGTGAAAAGGCCCCAAAAACCTTCTGCAAGGGCCCAAACCCCCTGAGGAGCCGCTGCTGTCGCTGTGAGGGCCAGAAAAAGTAAAAATAGGTGCAGCTGGGGGTGTTTTTGCATAATATTTTGGTTGAGCTGGCGCTGGATTTGCATAGTGGCCAAAAACCTGGATAAACTGTAATGGCTGGGAGTTATTTATTATCTCTGCAACTTTTTAAATAAATATATTCTCCACTCGCTCCCCCTGTGAACCACAAGGGTGAGCAGTTTATTAACTCAGGAGGGAAACCTGGGAGGGTGTTGGGAAATGTTTCCTGGGTGATCCCAGGGGAGGAGAGGGGATTGCTGCACTGCTGAACACGGGTTTCCTGGGGAGAAAAAAACCCTAAAAACCTGAGCTTGGTGGAGCTTTACCTTCCTGGTAAAGGTGAAGCTGCTCCACAACTGCTCGAAATCCCGGGTTTTCCTTGTTAAATGTCGGATTGAGCGAGGGGAAGTTGGAGCTGCAGGAACAGGGTTGGAATTTCTGTGTCCAGCGTGGTTAAAGTTTAACAGCAGGGCTTTGGGAGATGTTCCACGGGAGGGGAAAAAGGGGGTTGGAAATGGATTTAAAGCACCTGCAGCTCCAGGAGCTCCTGAACGGGACAAATAGTGGTGGGGCTGGAGCTGGAGCTGGAAGGGGGGGTGGAATTGTCTCCTGAAGGGACTCAGAGTGACGGAGGGGAGGGTTAGGTTGGATTTTGGGAAGGAATTCTTCCCTGCCACGGGCAGGGACACCTCCCATTAGCCCAGGTTGCTCCAACCTGGCCTTGGACACTTCCAGGGATCCAGGAGCAGCCACAGCTGCTCTGGGAATTCCATCCCAGCCCCTCCCCACCCTCCCAGGGAGGAATCCCTTCCCATCTAACCCTCTGGCAGTGGGAAGCCATTCCTTGTGTCCTGTCCCTCCATCCCTTGTCCCAAATCCCTCCCCAGCTCTCCTGGAGCCCCTTTAGGCCCTGGAAGGGGCTCTCAGGTCTCCCTGGAGCTTTCCCTTCTCCAGGTGAACCCCCCCAGCTCTCCCAGCCTGGCTCCATCACTGATATTCCTTAGGCATAAAATGTTAAGAAAAGGAATAAGAGCTGCTGGTCTGTTCCCAGAGCTGTGAGCTGGAGAAGGGAAGGTTTAGGTGGGATATTGAGGAGGAATTCTTCCCTGGGAGGGCAGTGAGGGGCTGGGCTGGAATTCCAGGAGAAGCTGTGGCTGCCCCTGGATCCCTGGAAGTGTCCAAGGCCAGGCTGGAGCAATTGGGGCTAGTGGGAGGTGTCCCTGCCCATGGAAGGAAGTGGAATGGGATGAATTTAAAGTCCCTTCCAACCCAAACCACTCAGTGATTCCATGATTTTTTTTCCCTCCAGGCAAAAGCTGCAGCTCTGGGTTTTCCTGCAGAGAGCAGAGTGTGACATTCCCTCCCAAACAGGGAGTTTGGTGGCTGCTGGAAGTTGTGGGTTAATCAATAAATGAAATTATTGGTGAGGGCTCTTCCCAGAGCCCAAACCTCTGGATTTGGGACACTGACCCCCCGTGTCCCATCCCAGCAGCTGTGGGATTCTCCAGTGCCATGGGGAGATGCCCACCCTCCGTGGGTGATGGGGAGGGCTGTTTCCATGGAATATGCCTTGGGAGTGGGCCTGGGTTTAGTGGGAACAGGCCTTTGGAACTTCTGGAGTTGTACTGTCATTATTTTTTAGGGATTTGGACCAGGTGAGATGAAGCCCCAAACCGTTTTTTAGGGCTTTGTACTTGTGAGGAAACCCAGACCTACTTTTGGGGGATTTTTACCTGGTGTGGTGAAGCCCAAAAATACTTTTTTTAGGGCTTTTCGCTGCTGTGGCAAAACCCAAACCCATTTTTTTATGGATTTCACCTGGTGTGGTGAAGCCCAATCCCATTTTTCTGGGCTGTATCCCAGCTAAAGTTCTTTACTTTTCCACGTTTAGCAGCAGAAAAGGATAAAAGACAAACTTTTAAGGGCCACAATGAACCAGAATATCATATTTTCATCTCCAAAAAATTAGAAATTACAGGAATTGTGAGTGACCTCTCCCAGTTTTTAATGGGAATTGCATGCCTGGAGCTGGCTGTGGTGCTTTCCCAGGGAACAAAGGCTGCAGTGACAGGGATACAGGAGCAGGAGGAATCAGATGATCCCTGTGGCTGCAAAGAAAACCCCTCGAGCAAATTGTTCTACAGCAACTTTCCCACTTAAAAAAAGCTCTTTTGACCTCGCTGGGAATTGATATTTTGGGCTTTTCCAACTCCTGTAAACGGCAGTTGGACCTTCTGGGAGCAGGGATGTGGGAAAGCAGGGAAGTGTCATCACTCTGGGGGCAAAAATGAATCCCATTCCTGCTTTTTTTCCCCCTCTGGAAGCAGATTTCTCCCATTTTTACTTCTTCTTCCACTTCCTTAAATGTTTTTCCGTGGCTGTTCCTGGGGGAGAAGGTCCGTGGTGGGATGAGGATGGGTTTTGGGATCGTGTTGGGTGTTTTGATTGGAATTTTAAAAACCATCTAAGTGATCAAAAAATTGGCACTTTTGGGTTTTTATCATTGGCTGTGCTCAGCTTGGCTCCAGGTGGGGAGAAATTTGGGATCCTGAGGGGAAACAGGATGTCCTGGAAAGCTGAAATGGGAGAAATTTGGGATCCTGAGGGGAAACAGGATGTCCTGGAAAGCTGAAATGGGAGAAATTTGGGATCCTGAGGGGAAACAGGATGTCCTGGAAATCTGAAATGGGAGAAATTTGGGATCCTGAGGGGTAACAGGGTGTCCTGGAAATCTGAAATGGGAGAAATTTGGGATCCTGAGGGGTAACAGGGTGTCCTGGAAAGCTGAAATGGGAGAAATTTGGGATCCTGAGGGGTAACAGGGTGTCCTGGAAAGCTGAAATGGGAGAAATTTGGGATCCTGAGGATGTCCTGGAGGGATTTAAATTCCATGGTGGATGTGGCACCTGGGGATGGTTGGGGTGGGGAACGATTGGACTCAGTCTTGGATGTCTTTTCCAGCCTGAATTCCCTGATTCTCAGGCAGGTGCTGAGGCAGAGAAGTCAGGAATCTGGCATCCTAAAAGGGAATTGTATCCCGTTCTTTTGCTTCCACACCATCTGATTTGAGGGTGTTTCCAATCCCAGAGTTTTCCAGCCTTTCCCTCCCCGGGGTTGGAATCTCCTTTGTGCTGTTCCCACGTGCCGAGGGGACACGATTGTTTTTCCCAGCCCCTTTCCCGAGGCAATTCCTTCCCCAATCCCGAATTTTTCCACTTCTTGCCTGTTTCTGAATTATTCCAAAGGATCCTTTTTTTTTTTTTTCTGGCTCAACCCCAGTTTGGCTTTGGGAATCCAGAGGAAACCCTGGAGACCAGGATCCGTGATTCCCCCTCGGGGAAGTGCTGCCTGACTGCAAATGATTTCAAATCCCTGATTTTTATTTCTTTTACTTCCAGCTTTTTCCCCTTCCCCGTGTCCCTGAAAACTTACAGAGGACTTGGGTTTCTCTTGGAATAGCC